AAGGAATTTATTGTAATGGTGTGAGTGTCCCTCCTGGAACCCAAAGATCAAGATGCATGAGGGCCTCAGGAGGTGATGGTTTTCCCTGCTCCTTCATCCGTGTTGCAGAATGTGGCATCTCACAGAAGCTCAGAGAAGATATAGAGAATCGTTACTTATGTCTCAGCCCCAATTTAACCCCCTCCAATAGATAGTCTTAATTGTCTCAGTCTGTAACATATGTCCCCCTTGAATGACATGATGAGCAATTCAAACATGGATGCTCAGCATCATAAATGGTATTTGTGATGGGAAGGTCTGAAGGACCATCCCTTGCAAAGAGAAGTGGTTTTGTGCTGGCAAAGATCCCCGAAGTCTCTACCAAACCTCCCTACCCCAGTCTGGCCTGGTTTCTCATTTAGTGATACAGAAATCAAGACAAAATGGCATGAAATATACTTTCCATAATCATGGCTTGATGAACGTGGGATAAAGATATAATTTATCATCCACTGGGTTACTTTTGAGAAGGAACACTATTAATAATTGGAACAAGATGCATAAACTGGCTTTCCCAGGAGAATTATGATATATGGTTTCCTTGAATGAAAAAGTTGCAAATCTCTATGGCCAGGCCACCCTGAACAAGCCTGATCCCGTCTGAACTTGGAAGCTAAGCAGGGTCGGGCCTGGGTAGTACTTGGATGGGAGACTACCTAGGAAGACCAGGTGCTGTAGGCATAAAAACTAAAAAATAAGGGATTGTAGACTGACAAGGTCCTTGCAATCTGTGAGGTCAACCAAGGGTTGCCTCACCTAAAAAAATAAATAAATAAAAAATAAAAGTAAAAGTTGCAAAATCTCGGATTTTCAGATAATAAATAAATTATTTGGATGGAGTGGGAACACCAAATCAAGAGTAAAGATAGTTCTCACCATTATGAGATAATATTAAAAATAAAGACATATCTAAATAATTTATTATTCTTTTCACATATCATTGCATCAACTTTGAAAAGAGAAACTTTGGGAAAGGCACTTAGTTTCTCTACTTCTCAATTTACTGGAAGTAAATGGAAAAGTATGATTTTCCAATTTCTAGATAATCTGAATGATAAGTCATATCTAAAAGAAAGAGATTATTTGCCTCAAAATTAAATATTTCAATTGTTTTAGCTCGGGTTGGAAAAAATTTAAATGGTGGTCAATCCATGTATATACAATGGAAAAAAAATGTAGTAAGTGTATATTATTCTGGTTGCAGTTTGTTTGCACAAACAGAAAGATACAGTCTTATAGGACTCCATATTGCATTTGGGACTTCAAAAAGCCTGACAGTCAACAATCAGGTATTTCTTCTATGTGTGGTGGTGAAATGCTTGATTCTGAACTCTGTCTCTCAAAACTCCAAGTGCTAAGGTAGTAGGCATCCTCCTGTTTCTGCTCAGAGTTTATTTAATAGATATCTTTGTAAAGATCACCTTTAGAAATCATGATTTTTAGGTGTACCGTATAGATGATGTGACCTCTAAGTGTGCCTTAGGATTATAGGCTTTTAAATCTCCTTGGGCAAATTACTCAACCTCTTGGAGTTTCAGTTTCATTATTTGGTGAAAGTACATAATATCCCAGTTGTTCTGATATTTAAATGAGATACTGTGCCTAAAGAGTTTAGCATAGTGTTTGGCACAGAGTAAGCACTCAATAAAATGGTTGCTATTATTAATTAGTGTTAACTCGAAAGACTTCCAGGCTGTGTAGAATGCTTTTTTTCCCCCCATGCTCTACTTAGAAGATGTCCTACATCTGTTGTTTAAAGAATAGTGCCCTCAGAGAACAGCAGCTTCTCAGAATAAGTGACAGTCTCAAGTTAATTATACATAAAATATATCAGATTCTTCCTAATTACTTACTGAATTTTCTCTGGAGTGCGTTTCCTATAGTGATGAAGAAATATAAAAATTGCTCTGGTAGTTACAAGCTATATACCTTTTATTTAAATAGTGAAATTGTTTTGTGTTAAATAAAACCTAAAAAAAAAACACACAAAAGAGATCTTCCTCTCCTGAAACTCAGGCTGCAGATGTGTCATTTCTGAGGCCAAAAAAGAGGTTTTGTCTTAGATTTTTTAATCCAGAGATCTGCATTTTCCTTTTAGATTTAATCCAGTGAAATCAGGTTTCACTCTATCTTGAGTTTCTTGTTCTTGTTCCCAGTTTTCCACTGAATAGCAGAGTTTCTCCAGAGGCTTCTGAACATTGGCAGGAAACAGCTGCCTTAGCAGTAAACACCACAGTTGTTGGCACTGGAAAAAATATAAGCAAGATGCTTTGCCATTCTACTGCCAGAGCCTCTCAACATTCAGAAACCGCACCATGAAAGACATAACTGTAGATTTAGGTAAATGAAGATTAATGACCTGCTTTCTTCATTTGGGCTGTAATTTTTCTCTCTTAAAATCATAGTACCATGTATTCTGTTCTATCAAAATGGAGGATCCCAGATAAAAAGCAGGCCTAGCCATAAACATGAAACAGCTCAAGTTTTTTATATGCTCAAATTTTTGCTAATTAGAAAAGAAAAACATTTTTTTTTTTAACCTCTATCACGTTGAAGGCTGGAGCCCACCTCAGAGAACGCGTACTAGCAGTTGATTAATGGAAGTGCCACTTCTATTCAGGGCTCTGTGGTTTAATCCATCCTCATCCAGTGTCACTGTGTGCAAGCTATGCATGACAAGCTGGGGAATATCTAGAGGAGGACACTGGTTTCTGCCCTCGGAGTTTAGCTCAGTCCAATAAATGTTATGTGCCCGCCTGGTGCTTTCAGCTTAACAGGGATTGACTTCACCATGTTCGGTGGGGTATAAGTGCAACAAGGTAACATTTTTTAAACCAAGTGCCATAAAATTCAAGCTGCAAGGTTTGATAGGTCGAGATTTATGAAAGACTTTCTGAAACCAGAGTCCAGGTACAGTGGGGAAGACATTTGCAAATAATTACCTGAATGCCAGGCATTGAATCGAGTACTCTGCACATTCTCATTTTTAAATTATGATTTAAAGATCTTTATTTGTAGTTCATTGTAAATTTAAAGAGATTGAAAAATTTGGTTACCAAAAAAAGTAATCATGCTGGACATACTATTGTTTATCTAGGTTTTGCTACAATACATTTGGACATTTCCTATGTCACTAAGTATGCTTTTTCACATTACTCTTAATGACCATATGACTTATTTAACCATATCCTTTATAGCTAAGTTAGGTAAGAAGATGTAAATACAAGAAAAAATTTTAAAAAGAAAAAAGCATGAAAGTATTAGGAGAAAATATGAAATATAAAATATAAAATTATAGGATCCTTTAAAAATATATATTTCATTTTTTTGGAGTAGCAAAATTGAGAGAGGTAGAGATTTCCCACATATCCCATCTCCACCCATGCATAGCCTCCCTCATTATCAATATCACTGTCCAGAGTAACGCATTTGTTGCAATTGATGAGCCTACACTGACATGTCATTATGACCCAAGTCCATAGTTTACATTAGGGTTTATTCTTGCTCTTGTACATTCTATAAATCTGGACAAACGTATAATGGCAGGTATCTACCATTGAAGTATTATACAAAGAGTGAGCACATTTTTAAATACATTGTATTAAAAAGGTAGAAACCTTAACAGAAAACATTAGTAGTTTGGAATATATAAAAATATAAAAATCCTTCATCAAGCATTATTATAAATAAAATTTAAAAACATTATCTCATTTAATTCTCAACAATAATTTTATGAAGTAGCTGCTTAGATTCCTTTTAAAGAAGAGGAAACTGAGGCTCAGAGAAATGACAGTGTGGAGATCAATAGATTTCTGAAAGATTGATTTATCTTGGTGAAAAACAAAAACTGACAGAATGAGAGGCATTGCGAGGAGGTAGTTTGAGTTCATTCTTTGCAGCAGCCTTTGATTTAAATCCCAGCTTTACCACTTCAAGGTGATGGAGGAGCTTCATTTTAGACAATGAGAAATGTTTTCATTTCATCTTTTGAAGTGTTCTTTTCCATATACTTCTTACAACTGTTATGAGAAAAATGATACTTTTTTCAGATGTGTCTTCAAATGCAAAATTTCATCAAGGATAAATTAGATGTTAATTACAAAAAAAGCATATGTCCCATTTTACTATTTGTTATACAGTGTAATACACATCCCTTTAATAGTAGAAATTATCAAGGGCTCAGTTACGTAGGGATAGTATAGTATAGGTCATTAACTACTTATTAAGTAGACAGATGAATAAAAGCCAAAACTGCGTAAGCTATTATCAATTGGATGAAATAAAATAAAAAGTTGATTATGACTGTCATCACAGTTTATCAGTGGGAAAATCTGGAGTGAAAAATTTAGAATGTAAGTGTTTTTATCTCTTATTTAGTTGAATTTAATCAAGTTAAAAATCCTGCCACATCTTGGATGAGAGCAGATTGCTTATTCATTGTGGACAGTAAAATGTTTCTGTGCAATTGATCTAAGATTTGACTTAAAATGTGGATATAAGGTTTACCTCCTCTGGAATAACATAATTTATACTATATAATAACTTTGACCCGTTTACAGAATCACATTTAATGGGCTGTCCAGAGCACTGGTGAATACCACAGTTCGGTCTGTTTTCTATATTTTTGGGGAATCTGGAAAAGCTGTAGGAAATGAAATATATATCATAAACTTTTTGCATCTAGTTCAACTACTACTCTCTTGAAATTTAACTGCATTCAAAACTGAAATTAAGAGATTTTAATAGCTGTTTAGAATTGGTTTTTGAATCTATGGTACAAAGAATATTAAGGTTTTTAGCATTAAAGAGTCTGATATGTAGCCACTTAAAAATGAATGGACTTTATTGTTTAATTTCAAGTATATACATATATCTTGTGTACATGTGTAAATATATACATATATATTTTATACAAAATATACATATTGCATTTTGACTGCATTTTATTTTTTCCCGAACAGATAAACAATCAGATCCTGTATGGAAGAAGTCACCAAAATGCATCTGCCATTATCAAGACGGCCCCATCAAAGGTCAAGCTTGTTTTCATCAGGTAAGACAGATCTGGTTTTCTAAAATCTAAGGTCTCTTCTGGAGATGTTACTGTTTACATTAAACTACTTTATCTTTGGTTTGTCTAACAAAATCACTGTATTCTAAAAATACATTTTTCTTTTGTAACTGTAACTTTAAGAAAAGTATAGACTTTTGATTATGGAGCTTTCTTGTTATATATGTGTCACTTGATAGTATGTAGTTGAAGCTAATATTTGTATTTCAATTTTTAAAAATTCTTTTCTTTCTGGATCTCATTATCCTCCTATAAACATAATAGCCTTCTAGCTTCTACTTCTTCTGTAACCATCATTTAGTACGTTTGCTGACTCATTTATGTCTTCATCAAAGAATAGGCAGGAAAACAGAACTCAGGAAAATTTTAGGAGCTTCCTATTGAGAGTGCTGGTGAGAAATCCAGAGGGGAGGAGATATGAGCTCTGCTGTCTACAGTCATGTGATGTGTTTGGGGCTCCACATTTACCTGTACCTCGCCTGCTAGCTCACTGAGCCCTTTTGGCATAAGTGAGTCAAAAGTGGGAGTCCTCATTGGTGGTAGCCATCATTGCCTTATCAGCAATGGAATGAGGTTTGATTCTCTGTTATTGGACTGAAATGACCAGTAAACCTGAATTATTTTTAGGTAATATAATTAACACTGTATGTTAACTGTTGCTTGGTTTCTTTTCTTTCTGTGCCTCAGTTATCATGTGTAAAATGGGGATAATAAAGCACCTACCTCATTGTGTTATTTCAAAAAGTTGAAATGTTCAGTACAGTGTCCAGCATAGAGTAAAAGCTAAAAGAGTGTTAGCAGATATTTTATGATGTTGATTATTATTATTATTATTATTCCCCCTTCTCTTTAGTAACCTGTCTGTAAGACTTATCCAATCCCAGGGGGCTCCTAGGATTAAGGGGATAGTTTTATTCCCAGACACAGACACTAATGAAATCTTCCTTTCCACGCATCACTTTGGCCTTGGGGAGTATTGCTGCTATGCTCCTAAAGAAATCCTAACATTGGCGACATTTTCTTCCACTCGGTAGCACTTTCTGATCTCCTGGTTTTTCACTCTTGTGTCCAAGAGTTAAAACCTTCCTCTTTCCTGTCTTTGTGTGTTGAAACCTCCTCTGGCTTACTCACTTTGAAATCCTCTGTTGGCACCAATCTCTTTTTTTGGGTTTCTTCGCTCTTCCTGTAACCAGAGGTTACAAAATTAGACTTGGATAATGAAAACATGAACAGACTTGTGGAAAGGCCCACCACTCAAGAGTTTAAGATGTCTATCAAGAGAAGTCCATATAAGCAAAGAGTTCAAGCCATTTAGGCTTGAAAACATTGTATAAAGTTGTGTGAGGGTTACATGAGAAGACTTACATAGCTCTCAACAGTGTCTGTGCATAACAGTGTCTGTACATAGTGCTCAGCCCGTGGTGGCGACTGTGGCAAGTGCTGTTATCAACGTTACTGTTACCTCTTCAGCGTTTGTGGGGCTTTTATTACCCGTATTGGGTCATCCCATTTTAAAGAGAGCAAAAGAAAATTGAATAGGATCAAAATGAAATCATTTAATGCAATTAAGTAATTCAGAAATAGAACCCTCCTTCGAGAAAAGTTAAATGATTTGAATTTATTTAGAATACAGAAGAGAAAACTGAGTAGAATTTTAATAATAGTAATAGAGCCCCATTAATTGTATCTGATGATTTCAATTTTGATTGTTCAGAGGGGATCAGAATCAAGGAAAGAATTTGTTGAGTAAATTAATGGTGTAAGGATGATTGAGCCTACTGCTAAATACTTATTTACGGGAAGTGATTTTAAGCAATTTAGAAGTATTGATGTGCATTCAAAATATGTAATTTAATTATGAACATTTCTTGCATGATCATTAATTATAATGCCTGGCATATGGTGGACATTCGGAAAACTTTATTGAATACATTTTTTTTCAGCTCCTACTAAGCATTCTAGATTATGTATTCTCCAAAGTCAACAATCATAGTAAATTAGTTTGATTGATTTTGTGGATTTAAAAATACATATAGATATATAATGCATTATTTTACAAAATTACTCATGCTTTAGTCCCTTTCCTCACCACTTTCCCAAATAATTTAAGTTAAGAAGATTTTTTTTTTATCTTCTTTTATAGGGAGAGAAAAGATGTAATTCTGAACAATCTGTTGTCCAATTTTTGACTGTAAAGGAAAATGAGCTTAAATCAAGAGATATGTATGCATTGTTGACAGCCTTTTGTTTGATTCAGTAGATAAATTTGGTAACCTATATGCCAACATATTATTAATTAATGCTTCAGTTTCCATAGGGAAGGAACTATTCATTTTAGTTAAAGTGATAGATTCTTTTCTAAAGCAAGACTGAACTATAAAGCAATTAAAAAAAGAAATCCTGGATTTACCTTGCTAGGTTTGAAACTAGTTTTAATACTCTGGCTCTGTGAACCTGGTCAGTTTTCTCATCTATAAAATGGAGGTGCAATGGTTATCTCATGAATGTCTAATGTATTAATACATATAAATTGCCTAGCAATATGGGCTCAACAATGTTCATTGCTATAGTGATTAAGAAGATGATCATGATGATGATGTCAAGAAAAGGTGGTAAAAGGAAGGAAGAAGGTAAAAGAAAAAAAGAAGTCGTCCTGGTGAAGGAAAGAGGAGGAATGTATGCTTTGTCTAATTTCAGAATCTTGAATATTTTTTAAAGTGAAGCACACTTACAGTTTAAGAATGCTTTAATTAACACGATAATGATTAAGCACTGGAAGAGGTAACTACAGACATTATATAAAACCGTTTTTGGTAAATGTTAGAATAAGAGATATGGGCACCTGCCTAAAACATCTCTTTTAGTTCTCTTTCAGCAGCTTCTTCTCCCTTTTTTTTTTTTTAAATGGTGACCTAGTATTCTAACAAGGAGTAGAATATTTTTTATTTGAGGAACGTATAAAGAGAAATCAATTAACATAAATTAATCCCCATGACAACAAAATATGTTATAATAGGTTTTACTGAGGTGAGTAATATCAAATAGTGTCAGAATATAAAGCACATAAGGAAATCAAAGAAGAAAATATTGTTCAGCAGCCATGCACATCACCAGTATAGGCGTAGTGGGAGACTGGTGTCCTATTCATATATGGTAACTAGTGCATTTTAGACACTATGCAACATATCCTCCTATTGCCTTCAAGCTGATTGTCTAGTTCAGTAATCCTTTAGGTACATCTTTCAACTTCTGCCTATATATTATCTCTTTCAGACTATTGTTACAAGAACCCTAATTTTGCCTTTTTGGAACCAAATCCTGAAGCAATTAAATATCGATTTGTTATCAAGTTTCAGAAAGTTAACACTTAAGTCATCTTGGTGTGACATATGCACTTATACCTTTCTTTAACTGTATAGCTTGCATTGTGTTATGTAATGTTACTTTAAAAACTGATTTTTATAAGTTGTATTTCTTTACAGTTAGTGTTTCTATTTGGCAATATTTTCTTCCTTAGCTGAAATTATTGATTCTCTGTACATTTCCATTACATAGAAAGTTTTGGCTTTTATATCTTGGTAACTCTTTTTCAAATTTATTGACAATTGAGATAAAAATGGGAACTGGCAGCATAGTTGGGAGTATGATTAGCAGTAATTACAGAAAACTGTTAAAATATGCTGCAGGCAACATTTTAATTAACTTAGGCCTTTAGTATAGTGAGTGTACATTTGTATGATCAGTTCCTTGTCATCTTCTTTTTAACACTTGTATTTATGCATATACTGATTGATCTGTAATTCACAAAGGGTCTGTGAGTCATTAGTGAAAATTAGTAAGTTTTTGCTATGTATACATGACTTACATATCACTCCCCCCTCCTTTTTTTCCTACATCATTAGATTTTCAACAGTCTTGTAATCATATAAATTTGCCGTAAGCCACAGATGGACTTTGATACACTAAATTATTCTACTCTAGATCACCTAGAGGTATATTACAATCTGGGTTATTACTACGTTCCACACATTTGATTCTATGGGTTTTCCCATTTAATGTTATCCCCTCTACACAAGCACTCCAATTTAAGTACAGGAGGAGAGCTATATTAATACGATGAAGAAGGAATTGCTATATTTGGCAGTACAGGGATCCAAGGAGATTAATGATCTTGCCTGCAGCTCTTTTCGTACCTTCCCCCACTATCGAAAATTAAATGTCATGTATAACAACTCACTCTCCATTACTTAATTACGTGTACTGTGTAAAAATTCCTGGGGCTAAAGGAAGCCAAATGAAACTGGAACCCTTGGAAAGATTTAGTGCTAGCTGTCAAGCCCTACTGAGTAAAAGTGGACTCACCATGGGATCCACCTTCCTGTATCGATTGAACATATGTCTTGTTTTGTAATTAAAAATATAGTGTGGTCCGTCATTCTCTGGCCATGTCCCTAAAAGATGATATTGACTTGAAATGAATGTGAATGTCAGAGTCCTCTCTAGGAGAAGTACATCTGAAGAAGCAAATTGAATACCTGTTTTTAAAGTCCTTATTGTGCTCTTGACTCTTTATAGCTTGTTTTGATAAATATGAGGGGGAAAGATGGTGGGCACAATTATGAGTATTACTTTCATCAAAAAATATTCATGCATTTATTCATCAAGTTTTTGCTGAGTGCCTACTTGTGCTGGTGCTGTAGAGTCAGTGACACAATCTCTGCCCTAAAGAAAGAGGCAGAGTGTAAACAATCTGATACCTCATTCAGTGATGTAAGTGCTATGATACTGTAGGGACATAGAGGAGACAAACCTAACCTAATCTTTGGAGCCTAAGGGAAGTTGTCACAGAGAAAGGTGCTTAAGCTCAGACCTGAAGGATAAGTAAGCAAAGTCATGTAGTGTGTATAGAAACCTGTAGGTTTTCAGAATTGGATGTTACGCTCAGTTTACCTGAACATTCACTTCTAGGAGAAAAACAATCC